ATAAGCTATGGACTAGAAGAAAATATTTGCAAAAGACATCTGATAAAGGACTGTTATGCCTCCCCCCACCCCCCAAAAAAAGGAAGAAAGAAAGAAAGATGAAGCTCTTAAAACTCAACAATAAGAAATCAAACAACCCAACCAAAATAAATAAATAAATAAATAGGCCAGAAACCTTAACAGACACCTCACCAAAGATAATATGCAGATGGCAAGTAAATGTATGGAAAGATGCCCCACATCATATATTACCAGGGAAGGGCAAATTAAAACAACAATGGGATACCAGCATACCTATTAAAGTGACCAAAACCCAGGACAGTGACAACACTGAATACCTAGAAGGATATGGGGAGCTAAGAATTCTCATTCACTGAGCAGAGAGGATATTTAGGGAAATAAAATACTCTGTATGATATTATAATGATGGATACATGCCATCATACATTTGTTCAAACCCACAGAATATGGAACACTAAGAGTGAACCCTAATGTAAACTATGGACTTTGGGTACTAATGATGTGTCAGTGTAGGTTCATCAATTGTAACAAATGTACCACTGTAGTTGGGGAACATTGATAATAGGGGAGACTATACATGTGTGAAGGCAAGGAGTATTTTGGAAATCTCTGTACTTTCTCCTCAATTTTTCTGTGAACCTAAAACTGCTTTTTAAAAAAGTCTTTAAAATACTAGGTATGAGGGATAAATGTTGCTATATTTATTTTACACATAGAAAAATTAGAGGACAGAAAGTTACATAAAATTAAGTTATTTGCAATAACTTTGCAGATAATAAATGGAGTAGGGTAGAAGAGCTTTTCAGACAAAGGGAATACTGGGGAGGGAAAAGACATAGTTGCATAAAATTACAGGACTTACTTAGAGAATGATGAGTTATTGTGTTTCAAATCATGAAACGAACTGGAAATTTAAACCTTGGAAAATGGGTAACAAAATAGTTCAGAAGAGCTCCTCATGTACCTCACCAAAAAGTTTAAGTTTTTAGCCTGATCAATGAAAGCTATAATGAGGCGGTCAACCAAGATAGGATGCCCAGTGCAGAAATGATCTTGAACTTGGTGAATGTGAATTGAACTCAACAAGAAATAGAGTAAATTGCTGGAATCACTAACCTAAGTGCCTTTTAATTTTTTTTTCCTTTCCTTTATTACTTTCCCAAATACTTAATAACCAAATCAAGTAGATGGCTTATTTTTAATTCCACCTGAGTCAATGTTCTCTCCTAGTACACAGAAAACCACTTTCTCGAAACAGACTCTTATCATTGTCCATCTTGAGTATTGCAATTCCCTCTTACACCCCCCTTTGTTTTATTATCATTTTTTTCCTATCTTCTTAACCACCACAGAGAGATCTCTCTAAAATACAAATATGAGCCTTTCATTCCAATGCTTGAATGTTTCCATTGGCACCCCCTGACTTTCAAGATTAGGTAGAAATGTTGTAACATGCTTTGCAAAGCTCTTAATGATTAGGCTTTACTTTATCTCCCCACTTTATGACTCGCCACTTACCCACATGCACATTGCCCAAGCCAAAAAGTCCATATTTCTCCCAACATGCTCCTGATATTTGGTTTTGGATTAACAATCTCCTGTCTAAATGCTTTCCCTTCTCTTCTCCATCGAAGCCCTTCAGCCAGTGAGAACCAAAAGCTTGAAGTAATTTTGACGCTACTCTCTTCCTCAAATTCCATTTAAAAAATAGTATTATTAAATCACATCTTTTCTAATAACTTTATAAATCCCTTGAGATAATTGTTTCATTTTCACTCTAACACATATTTATTTCAGTTCCATATCCTCTCATAGTTTACCAGTTGTAATATTGGTAGTCCTCTATATAAAGGCCTGCAGTTGCTCCCTCTCGTCTCTGAGCCCCTCGACTGACATACAAAGCCCTTCTGCTCCAAGCCTGCCTGCTTTTCCATGTTCATATTCTACCCTTTCCCTCATGAATGTGGCAATCCAGCCACTCCAAACTGCTGTACTTTAGTGTCTGCAATTCTTGCTCCTCGTGCTTGAAGTGCTGTCTCTCTCTGCTTTCTCCTTTTCACTCCTCACAAATTTAACATCTTGCTATATATGCCTTCATGAGATATAAAATCAGCAATGAATCAAAATGTGAATTATTAACGGTGTTAATCAGACATATATGTAAATTTTTACATATGCATAAATTATATTGAAAATTATGTATGAACTTTTATAGTTTGCAGAATATTTCTCACACAAAGGAAGAATAAATTTGTATTAAAAAAAAATAAACCTGTGCTGAAATTTAGCAACTTTTCATTGCCAGAGCAATGGCCAAGAATCCTTAGAAAAATATAAAAATATTGAGCAGATAATAACTTCAGGTTATTTAATTCTAATATTGTAACTGTTTTTTCAGCAAGTGTGTGTGTGCATGCATGTGTGTATATTAAGAATCATAATTCTGTCTGGGTATCCTCTAGACTACTACAAATACTGTTAAAGTTTAATGTCTCCCAATACCAAATAAACAGATAATGTAGTCTATTGATTTCAAAAGCACTATAGTTCTTCCTAAGTGCCTGATGAAGCAGTAAGTCCACTAAACATTCTCAAATATTGCAGTCAAGACTACATATTAATGGATTATTCACAGGAAAATTATTCATAGAGCTTCAGTGATATGTGAAAGTTATCTGGATCTCACCAGTTACTCCATAAATACTTGTTAAATCAGTAAAGTAGATTATTCTCATTTTCCTATAGAGGAAATTGTGTCACAACTAAGTGGTCTAATTTGCCAATACTCTCATTTATTCAATAGCAGAGGAAGAAATATGACCCAGACTATAATCCTTATGACCAGCCTATTTTGGAAGAAGTCATATGGAAGCAAAGGAACTGTTCAAGTATTTCACTTATATTCATGAAAGGGTTTCCATTAAATCAACCTGGAGAGTTGAAACAGAATGTAAAAAGTGATATATGTTAACATATAAGCCTGGATTTAAAAAAGATTAGTCCCTCAGAATTATTCTTTCCAGGGACTATGTAATGTATATGATCACATAGATTGCAGATTTGATTTAAGTGTATTTACTTTAATCAGCTAAAAATATCAGAAGCTGCCATGATTCATTTAAAGCAGAGAGGACAAATACATTCAGGACATGCTTTAATTTATGGTACATGAAGCAAAGGTTATAATCATCAGAGAGTGGAAAGAAATGTGTATTACTTAACTCAAATTAGTTCTCATTTTCCATGGATGGTTGAGCTCTCTGAATATTTTAAATGTCTTCCTCACTGCTGAATATCAAAATTAAAGCTAAGAAAGACACGTGAAGTTATAATATTCTTTTCAGGCAATGCATATTTTTTTCTCGTCACAAATTCAAAAGAATGTTACTTCAAAGAGACAGTAGTTGTACTTTCTAAAGTCTTTTCATGTATTTTTAAGAGAAAACAAAAAAAGTATATGTGAACACTTCCCTGTTATCAGTTGAAAGGGCTCGGTGAAGGGTATAAGAGCAGATTTCTCTAAAAATATCAATAACTTAGATGCGGAGTGCCTTAGAAGCGAAAGCTTTAGCATGTGTCCACTTATGAAATATGGACTAGTGTCACAGGAAGGCAGGGAGTTGAGCCAGACCTGTGCTCTGTGGAGTGTTCTTTCTTTGGGGAAGCGAAATCCTGCCTACTATCCACATATACCTAGTTACAAAATGCAGAACACAGAAAAGGTATTAAGAGAAAAAGATATAAATTTATATAACTTACAAAGCCTTTGAATGTTGAACTACAGAACTTTTCTATTTCTTCATAATTGGCTGATATTTAAATATAATGTGTGCATTTCCAAAGTGTATCATGTTACACAACAGAGTAATTCTCAAGCCCAAGCAATTTGGCTAACTTCCATTCATTTTGAAAATTTTATTAATTCTTGTCCCTTAAGCTCATATCTAAATATGCAAGAACTTGATACAGAAAAAAAAAACAACATTAAAGCTGTAGGGAGCCAGTTTGAATTCTATAGCACTTTGGTAAACAATTTAGGATGGCATCATTTAATTTTCTCTAACAACAACAACGACCAAAAAATCAACAAAAGACCATAAGGATATTTATATTGGCCATTGGCTTTTAAAGAAAAGTTTGGTTGTTATTGAAATGCACAACATTAACAGAAATTCAGAGAAAATTTGAATCTGAGGAGGAGCTATGAACCTCTTGTCCAAACTATCTTTGAGAAGAGGAATGAACTGAGGTTGAACATGGTTTAGAGCTAACAAAATGCTGCTGCTCATGACGTCAGGTGATTTTTTATACGATGTTTAATGTTTGTGTGTCTTTTTTGGTGATCTTTCCATTGTAAATCACAAAATGCATTGAAAAATGTAAAGGGGCGCCTGGGAGGCTCAGTCAGTTAAGCGACTGCCTTCAGCTCAGGTCATGATCCTGGCGTCCTCGGGTTGAGCCGCCCACAGGGCTCCCTGCTCGGCGGTCAGCCTGCTTCTCCTTCTCCTCCCCGCTCCTGCTCTCTCTCGCTATCTCTGTTGCTCTCTGTCTCTCTCTCTCTTTTAGACAAATAAATAAAATCTTAAAAGAAAAAAAAAGAGAAATGTAAAGAGGAAATGATGTCAGCCAAAGTAATAAATAAACTTCTATGTATATTTTTATGGTAAACTGGGAAAATAAGCCTTCTAAAATGTCTTAGATATTCTTCCATTTACATAATATATATTTTACAACTCAAATCTTCTCCAAATTTATCTGAATCTCAGGATACTTTCTAGTAATTCAAAATTATATGTTGTCTGGGTTCATTCTTAGTGTTCCATTTAAAAACAGAGATATTTATAAAGAGAAATAAGCACATATGAATTTGAAGCTGTATTTGTATTGTGTAAAAGAAAAGCTTTCAACAGATACTATTTCAACTTGCAAATAGATAAATGAGATGATGTTTGATCTGATTTGTTCTGACATGTCTGCAGGCAAAATGCTTTTCAAGTCATTGCTGTGGACGGGGTCTGCAGTGGGATTATTCAGTGCCTCTCTGCTGAAGACTGTATTGACTGGCTACAAGCAATAGCAACTAACATTTCAAACCTCACAAAGCACAATGTAAGTAGTGATTCAAGGAATACCTGACCATAGAGTTTCTCAGCCGTGGTAAATTTCTGCAGTATATATGTAACTTTACAATAACTACTTGGTGTTTACCTAAGAGTGAATTTATATCCATCATGAAAGCTATTCTGGAATATTTATTTAAAGAAAATCACTTTATTTTGAGAGTTTTATCCCAGTGTATCAGTTCAAGAATACTTACACATTTAAGTTTTTTTTTAAATTTTATTTATTTATTTGAGAGAGAGAATGAGAGAGAGAGAGAGCACAAGAAGGGGGGAGCAGGAGAGGGAGAAGCAGACTCCCAGCCGAACAGGGAGCCTGATGTGGGACTCGATCCCAGGACTCCAGGATCATGACCTGAGCCGAAGGCAGTTGCTTAACCAACTGAGCCACCCAGGCACCCCACATTTAAGTTTTCATTCACAAACATGATAAACCATCAATGTAAGTTAAATAAGTGAAAATAAGTGAAAATAAATATGTACATATTTATTGTAGATATATGTACATATAGATATATGTACATATAAATGTAGATATATGTACACATATATGTAGATATATATGTAGATATATATACATATAAGTATAAAGTAGATATATGTAGTTATGTATATGTATGTACATATAAGTATAAAAGTATCCTGAACTAAAGCAGTACTGAATTTTGAGATAGCATTATTGAGCTTCCATTAGTGATTTTAGAATTGCAGCTGCAACCATTTGATGGGGTAAGAGGGGAGGGTGAAAGAGTCGGCATGGAGACTGAAGATCCCATCTGGGATGATGCTGGCACAGGAATAGTCAGAAGACATTCTGTGGGAACCAGCAACCCACCTCTTAGAGCCATGTCTATAATACCAGGAATGGCTTCTCTACTTTTTCCTTATTTTTCTACTCCAACCTTTCTTTCCCCATTCCGATCTCTTCATTATCTCTATCTTCTCATTACCACTGTTCTTTCATAACCTAATGAATCCTTTCTCCCCCTTACTTCTAGCAGAAGTATAGTCTAACAAAATATGCAAAACTAAAAACATCACTTCCTTGAGTACTGACATAGTTCATTAAAGGTTATTTGATCAGGGCCACATCACTATAATCTCTGCCTCCACAGTCACATCATGTCTTCCTCTGTGTGCCTGTTCTCCTTTATGTGTCTCTTATAAAGACACTCATCATTGGATTTAGGGCCCACTCAGATAATCCAGGATAATCTCGCCCCAAGATCCTTAATTTAATTACGTCTACAAAGATCCTTTTCCCAAATAAGGAAATCTTTGTAAGTTCCAGGAATTTGATGTGGATATCTTTTTTTAGTGGTGGGAGGGCAGTCATTGTTTGGTGTACTGCAGAAACTAATATGGCAGACAAACAACAACTTAGATTCAGACATTATGTTCTGATTTATTTCCCAAGGTGGTGTATCTAATATCAGCTGAGTTTTCAAAGTCTTTATTCTGCACTTCATAAGAATGAACCTAGAATTTCTTTCAGTTCATCCATGGAATTAGGGTGTCTTCTTCTCCCTCTTGCTTGTCTCTAGGATTTTCCCCACATTGTCTGGCTCCCAGGGAAGAGCTGTCCTTGATCTGTCCAGAAAGTCAGAGCTTCTCTCAAACTATAGCCTCCTGCACTGTTGTACATTGCTTCATGACTAAACCCTCCTTCAGGGCAAAACAGCATTAAAAAAAAAAAGAGAGAGAGAGAGAGAGAGAAGTAATAAGGATCCCTCCCATAATGGGGACCCCTCTTCCTAGTTCTTTATTCTAAAGGGTGGGTTTTCTCTTGGGATTTCTAGGTGCTCACAGCAGCTGTTTGACAGCCTGGCCTTGGAGCAGGGTCATGAGCCAAAAAGAGAAAATGTCATGAGTGTCCTCTCCAGAACCCACGACTCCCAGGGGGCCCTTTCTCAGGCCTCTAGTCAGAAAGATGAGCTTTTCTCACAGTTTTGCTGTCCATGATCTAATTTGTCTTCATCTCATGTCAACTCTGGGAAATAAAGGAAGCAAAAACAAAACAAAACAAAAACAGGAAACCCACTGTAATCATATTAGTTGTTATTAAATTTTTACTTTCTCCCCAGTGTCCTTGTTGTTAATTTCTTTAAAGATTTTTCATGTAGTCGCCTTTTATATTTTGCCCAGTGTATTTAGTTATGGTCAGTGTGAGAAACGGGCTGCAGTGGGCTTATTTCTTTTCGTCTAAAGCCGGAAGCAGGAGTTACTTTTAATATAAATAAATGTAAGCAAAAAGGCAGTGTACTAAAAGAAAATAATTGCTATCTTATCTTGACATATTTTGGAAATATCCTTTAAGAACCCAGGTAAAACTAAGTCATTTTCAGGGGCGCCTGGGTGGCTCAGTCGGTTAAGTCGCTGCCTTCCGCTCTGGTCATGATCCCACCGGGATCGAGCCCCATGTCAGGCTCCCTGCTCGGCGGAGAGCCTGCTTCTCCCTCTCCCTCTGCCTGCTGCTCTGCCCATTTGTGCTCTCTATCTCTCTGTTAAATAAATAAATAAAATCCTTAAAAAAAAAATTAAGTCATTTTCAGTCAAATAGAAAGATACAGAAAATTCATAAGAAAGAATGTTGAATCAAAGAAATACTGAAAGGTTTTTTTTTTTTTTTAAGAAAAAATTCTAGATACAGGCTTGGAGATGTGGGAAGGAATAAATAGTAAAGAAAATGATAAGCTTATGAATAAATTTAGATGAACATTGTATAAAACAATATTACTTTTTTCTTGAGGTATTTAGATAAACAGAATTAAAATGTATCCCAAAGCAATATCATGTATGCCCAAAAGAAGTCAATGTAAATAAAACCTGATATGTTAAAAACAGATTTTTTTTACTTATTAGAGGACGCCCTAACTTAATAGGCAAAGTGTATAACTTAAAAATTAACCAAGGAACAAGTGAGAAAATAATGTTAATACAGAAAGAGAACTCCACAAGAAAATAAAAGAAATAAAAATAAAAGAGCAGAAGTTGGACAAGTAGGAAGCACAAAGTAAGATGGTGATTTAAGTCCAAATATATTAAGTATTTACAATAGAGTTAAATAGACCAAACTGTCCAATTGCATATAAAGATTGTCAGACTGGACAACAACAATATCAACAAAAATAACATTTATATATTTCTTACCAGAGAAGGTATAAAATCAAGACATTAGTAGAACAAAAGTACAAGTATAGAGGAATGCAGTGCAAACAATAATGAAAAATAGATGTGGGAGCTTTGTTGATATATCAGGTAAGGTGAACTTCATGGCAAATATATTACCAAAGATAGAGATGATTGTTTCATAATAATAAACATTTAATTCACTAGGTAAATGAAGGAAATGCAAATACTGATGTCACATGGAATAAAAAATACCTATTATTTGGGATTGAAGAAGTAGATTGAAAAGAAAAAAAGAAGTGCAATTCCAGAGCTAGAACTATAAAACAGTTAAGACATATTTCTGACAAAGAGGAAAGAAATATAATGAGTTGTGTGATCACAAGAGGAAAATGACAGATTCATACAACTCTTCATTTTAGCCCATAGAGAGTCATTAGCACATTTTCCCATCACACACAGGTGGAAATCTCCCATTAAACCATTCACTGAGCACTAAGCGAGTCTGGGATACCTCCCTAACAATGCCCCAGGAGTGCAGCACACTGTAGTTATTTTTCTATTAAAACCTATCAGCTTCTCTCACTGGAATTCCTTAAGGCCAAAATAGTTCTTCTCAGATTATCACTATCATATCTATCCTATATACACCTTTTAAATGTTAACTGCCCTACCAGAAAAAAAAAAATGAATAACCATGTATTTGTTTTAAAAAATCCTAATTTTTAATCTATAAGTTACAAAGAGTGACAAAAGAAATTTGAAAATATGATTTAGTCAATAACTCTAAACTAGCACTTAAATTTGGTTTTATTTCAGATTTTTATTCTGTGTATCTATGATGGGCAGAATAATAGCATCCCCAAAATATCTATGCCATAATTTCTAGAACCGGTGAGAGTATTATCTCACATGGCAAAGAGAGTTAAGGTTGTAGTTGGAATTAATTTTTCTAATCAGCTAACCTTCAAATAAATTGATTAGGCTGGATTATCCAGAATTGCCCAGTGTAATTCCTAGTGTCTTTAAAAGTGAGAGAAGATAAGAGGTACCTGGGTGGCTCAGTCAGTTGAGCATCTGACTCTTGACCTCAGCTCAGGTCTTGATCTCAGGGTCATGAGTTCAATCCCCACCTCGGGCTCCACACTGACTGTGAAGCCTACCTTAAAAAAAAAAAAAAAAGTGGAAGGAAGTAAAATGAAAGAACTATGGAAATAGCAATGTGAGGAGGAGGTCTGACGCTGCTGGCCCCAAAGATGCAGGAAGGGACCAGAACTTAAAGAAAGCTAAGAGGCCAGTAGAAACTGCCAAAGACAAGGAGATATTGCTTCTCCAGAGCCTCTAGAAAAGAATACATCCCTGCCAGCATGTTGATTTTATGCCAGTGTGACACATTTAGGACCTCTGACCTATAGAACTGTAGGATAATAGATTAGTATTTTGTTTTCAAGCCACTAAGCTTGTGGTAATTTGTGATTGAAACAATAGAAAACTAATTCAGCATTTAGATAAATCCCCTGCATTTTTTCATCTAATCTAAATCTCATGGTTTAATCTGAAAAGCATACCTCTAGTTTTATCACATTTAGTCTTCCAGAATAGACACAAAATGCATTTGCATATATCTGAAAAACAGCCTAATATGCATGTTATTAATTAATCCAAGTGCAAAGCAGAATATGATATCATTTGAGGCCCTACATCCTTTAAAAACAGCTCATTGTAATATTACAACAAAAATAATCATAATTGTTGAGTTGAAACACACTAATGAAGATGTCTTTGGAGTTGGAAAGAGGGTTTGTTTTTCTCAGTGCCTTGGCAGGCATGGCTAAAAGCCTTCAAATACTACAGAAAATGAGGCAGGATAAATCATCTGAAGGCTGTGAGAACTGCTGGTGCCGAAAGAGCAAGTGTGACTGGTCCAGTCTCTTGGACAGAGGTCAGAACTGATGTCAGAGGGAGTCCCTGTGAAGGTGTGATGTGGGGAGTTCTGTCTTATTTGGGGAACAACAGCAGCAGTGGCCTGACCAAGGAACTAGTGCGTCCAACCTGACTTGACCCTGATCAAACAGGGCAGCACCACTGTCCTATGTCCTTGCATTTTTGGTCCTTACCATAGTCCATGCTGAACAAATATGAGATGAACGAATGAGTCGGTCAGTCAATCAGTAGTTGTTTGAAGGACAGATAACCGCAAAAGTGGGGAAGAAAAAGAGGGAAAGGGGAAATTAATTGAGCTACAGTAAGCACTGCAATGAGAATTTCTCATTAAATTCTTCTAACTTATTAAATACTACTCTTTAAATTCTTACAACCTTGGAAGCATCATCTGATTTAGAATAGCTGTGGAAAAGAGGTCCTGTCAGCGCTGTGCCCCTCCAGCATGGATGATTCCTGTAGACTGCCTATTATCTGGACATATTTCCCTGTCCCTCATAAATCTTTACCTCTCCTAAGAGGTGTCTGATAAACAAGTGTTTTTTTTTTTTTTTTCTTTTTTGAAACAAATCTTCTGAATGACTTTCTAAGAGGCAAGAATAGAAAAATACAGTGGACCAGAGGGTCAGGAATAAATAGACTATAATTCATATATCTGATTATAAATCAAGGCAAATACGTTTGAACACCTCTGTATTTCACAGCAGCTTAATTCTCTTATGAACATTTTTAAATGTTAGAAATGTAAATATGGTCATTAGAATGGACCATGGAGGTCGTCAAGCCCCATCTCCCACCCAATTAAGAAATATCTTCTGCAAAAGTCCCTTCAGACAACTTTATACTGGAAATCTTTCAAAGACAAGAAAGCCACTGTTTCACAATGCAGCAACTGAACATTTGACAACTCAGTATCAGGAAATGTTCCCTTATACTGAATAAAGCTCTCCTGTAGCTTTCATCCATTTGTACTAGTTCTGCCTTGGGAAAGACACACACTAATTTAAATTTCTCTTTTACTTGGCATCTCTTCTAATATAAAAGGGTAAGTATTGTATGTCACAGGCTGTTTTTTGTTTTTGTTTTTGTTTTTGTTTTCAATAGAAATATCACTGATGCCTTTTTCCCTGGGTTTTCCCATCCTGGTCCCTGTCCCTGGATGTAGAAGCTTTTACGAATAAGTAGAGAATTAATTATGTATTAGTTTTTGTTACTGACATTAACATGAACTCAAGTATCTTAAAGCTTCGTTATTATCTTGACATGTATTTACTGAATTTGCAATATCCATTTACATATAATTATATATGAAAACATTAAATGACATTACATTTTATTATGATGATTAATCAGGGTTTGTGTTTTCTCATTAAATAATATTATATACTACATTAGCAGTAGTGAAAAAAGTTCAAAGTTTAAGTATGTGCTTTATATTTAAGTACACTTATGAGTCAGAAAACCTGGTTTTTGTTTTGGTTGCACCAATTACAAAATATTCCAAGTTATGCAAGCAACCTATACTAAACCATTTAAGAAAAAGCTCTGTTCCTTAGTTTCTTAACATTTCAAAGAATGAGCTGTCATTGTTCTTGTCTTCCTTACTAGGTTACAATGAGATTCAAATAAGATATTTCTGCAGCTGCTAACTACCACAGTCTATAACGTATAATTTTAAAGAGCAGTATTATATTTACATTAATATAACGTTAATATTCTACCCCACATTTTAGAAGAATGTTGTACAATGGAAATTCAATAAAATGTTGTAGATATTA